TGGCCAGGCCAACCGCGACTAAAGCTCCTCCCTTTTAGTCCCGGTTTGTGGCACGAACCGGAACTAATGGGGTTGAGACCTTTAGTCCCGGTTCGTGCCACGAACCGGTACTAAAGGTCCCATTTTCAAACTCTAACCCCCCCCCCCTGGGATCGCCTTTTCAGTTTTAAAAAAAATAAAAGAAAATAATGGAAATGTCAAAAAAATAAAAGAAAATAAGTTTCTCATGTGATATGTGGTCTAGTTGTTGGGAACCCCGTTAAACATTTTCAAAATCCTCAAAAACCTAATAGAAAAAAAGTTACGGGGCTTGTAAGATCTAGAGTGGAAAAAATTGAAAAATATTCAAACAGTGGGCAAACTATGGTCAAACAATGGTCAAACTAATTATTCTAGAATATTAGTGTGTTACTAAATAATTATTTTAATTATTTCAATTTTGGTCAAATCTGGTCAAACTGTGGTCAAACAATGGTCAAACTAATTATTCAAGAAATATTAGTGTTACTAAATAATTATTGTTTTTTAAAACAATAGTTTCAAACTCAAACAGTAAAATGTGTCACTTCATGCTCAAGCAAAATTCCTGAAGGTTAATAGGATTGACATCTTATTATTGTCAGGAAAACAACAAGTGCAGACTTGGAGCGTGGGAGAATAGAACCCGGAAGTTAAGCGTGCTTGGGCTGGAGTAGTGAGAGGGATGGGTGACCGGTTGGGAAGTTAGATGATTTGGAATGATGAGGGGTGATAAAAGAATAAATTGAGAAGTGATGAGGGGTGGTGATTAGAGACTAGAGGTTAAAATAATTCAGAAATTTGAAAAAAAAAATTCAATTTTTTTTTTCAAAAACCTGTGGCGGCCTTTAGTCGCGGTTAGCCACAAGAACCGCGACTAAAGGTCCTCCGCCCCGACGGCCACCTGGCGCCCACGTGGACGGGCCTTTAGTCGCGGTTCTTAAGCAACCGCGACTAAAGGGGGGGGCCTTTAGTCGCGCCCGCTCGGTCGCGGTTGCGCAACCGCGACTAATGGCAGTTGCGAACCGCGACCAAAGACCCTTTTTCCACCAGTATATCTCGACCAGCAGGTAGTGGGTTCAATTCCTAGTGAGCTCTTTTTTTCCTCGATAGCTACAACATCGTTCGGACCTGATGATAAAATCCGAACGTTCGGAAATTACATATACCGAATTGAAAAAGGCCAGTTAGGCTCTGCTTTTCGTTGACGCTGTTGGCAAACTAAGGGTGCGTTTGGATGCAAAGTATTTTTGTAGTTTTCCTAGAATACCGTAGTTTTTGAAAAAACCATGATTTTGAATACTTTGATGTGTTTGGCTTTAGAAAAAACGAAAGTGTTGTAAACCATAATATCCCACAAACCGTGGTATTTTTGAAGTATTTAAAAAAGAGGTCCTGACCTTTTTTTTCTAAATAGAACGGAGAGAAAGTGCAGCTGGCGTTGCCATCTACTCGAGATAAGAATATCAGCTGTGATCGCCTTCTAATATTCCTAGTGAGCTCTTTTTTTCCTCGATAGCTACAACATCGTTCGGACCTGATGATAAAATCCGAAAGTTCGGAAATTACATATACCGAATTGAAAAAGGCCAGTTAGGCTCTGCTTTTCGTTGACGCTGTTGGCAAACTAAGGGTGCGTTTGGATGCAAAGTATTTTTGTAGTTTTTCTAGAATACCGTGGTTTCTGAAAAAACCATGGTTTTGAATACTTTGATGTGTTTGGCTTCAGAAAAAACGAAAGTGTTGTAAACCATAATATCCCACAAACCGTGGTATTTTTGAAGTATTTAAAAAAGAGGTCCCGACCTCTTTTTTCTAAATAGAACGGAGAGAAAGTGCAGCTGGCGTTGCCATCTACTCGAGATAAGAATATCAGCTGCGATCGCCTTCTAATATTCCTGCATCTCTTATACGATAAATGATCTATATTATCTCCTGGTATGCGCTCCCTACAATATTCTGTCCTTAGGTATTTGTCCAGTCTGATTGCAAGACTGCTGCAAGGGGTGGCATATAAATTAGATACGACGCTGCTGGATGGGATGACGGCACTGATTAGTTTCTAGTGATCTTGCACGCTTCTCCATAGAGTCTTGGGCTGTCGATTAATTTTGGATGGGTAGCGCACTGATTAGATAGATTGGCCCTTGTCCTTGGAAAATATACTTGTATGCAGCCGGATATATATGCTAGGTAACCGATTAAGTATAAATGGCGCATCGTACATAGCAGCACGCTCCTAGGATTGTATTACTTCAATCTATAGTTGATTTATGAGCTTAAGTTGCCACATGCTATTCATCAATCATCCACCTCCTGGTTAAATTAATCCAGCCATTGAAGGCCGGCTGATCGATCTGTTTCTTGCGCCTGTCTAGTTAGCAGCAGTACACAAATCTGCTATATAGTTAGCAGCAGTTAGGCCGTGTAGCTCGGTTAGTTTCAGATGTCACCCAACGTTACCATCAGTCAAAACAGTAGTATAACAACACCAGCCAAACACCTAGGTAGTTTTGGTAAAACTGAGAAAAACCATGGTTTAAAGAAACTATAGTATTAATTGTGTACACATCTGCTCTAAAAACTTTGTGGGCAAACTAAGCCTAACATTTAAAAAGTACAGTACCTTTGAAAGCTGCCTCGGTATTCATGTTCTTCCTTGTGCAGTCCGAGCACCTGGCCAGGCCGACCACGACCGGCGCCGCCTCGCCGTGCACAGAGTTTGCGAGGCCGATCACCAGCACTACAGCGCAAACTCCGAACAGAAACCGCCGAGGTAGGAGCGCCATTGTGGAGCTCGATCTACCACTTGTTCGGAGATGCTAAGGAAGGGAAGCTGTGGATGGACGTGGACAAGGATGGCATCCTTTATATAGGCGTCAAACACTGACGCGGTTCAATCAACCGGAGCGGCCCGTAAGTGAAAAAGTGAAGAACGGCTAAATTCGGCGCCGGCTTTGCAGATTAGCCATCAACGTCGCCTAATGTGATCTCCTTTCCTTCAGATATACTCTTCCAGTTCCAAGTCTCCTCGTACTGGCCGTTAAATGCTCAAGCGAAGTGTAGTACATAGCACATGGATTGCCCTTTTGCAGGATCAAGTTGTCGACCAGATCAGGGGAGGGTGGATGAAAGTTTTTAACAATTTCTTCAAAAAACGCATTTTTGGAAGAAGAAGAAAGTAAACAAAACAAAGCGCAAATACTGAAAAGAGGAATAGTTTTCAATACTTCAGTTTTTTGCAATACATTGTTGCCAAAACACAGCATGTGAGGCAAAAGTAAAACTAGTAAGCTAAAGACAGAAGTATGCTTAGGGTTCCTCTGACTCCAAAAACAAAGAAACTTAGGGTTCTGACTCCCGCCGGCGCTGCCGCCGGTTCGCCTCGTCTCTGGTGGCCCTAGGGCCGTGGAGGCGCGGTGGACCCGTCCCTTGCTGGTGGGAGGGATCCTGCCCCGTTTTTAGGTGTTTTATGATTTCGTTTAGGGTTTGTGTCCTACTCACGAAGACGAGGCAGTGACGCCTCCCTGAAGATGAAATAAACTTCTCCCTGGCTAGCCCCGTTTCGGTGATGCGTCTAGCGTCGCCGGAGGGCGTGTGCAGGTGTGCCTCCGACAAATCTCACAAGATTCAGTCGGTACTGGTCTTCGGTGGATCTGTTTGGATCGGGTCTTCATTCATGCATCTACATGTTGGTTCTTTTGATTTATACTTTTCTTCATCGGCGACGGTTACTGTTCTGGTGCGCTGGTCCTATAGGGACTTAGCACGACAACTTTCCGACTGTCTACTACAACAAGTTTAGCCCGACTTCGGTGAGGGAGGGACAATGACAGCGGCGCGCCTTCGACGCGCTCCAGTGCCTTTAGTCGTCACTACTCGTTAGGCGGTCTACGGACATGGATATAATTTTTGTTATTTCTGTGTTCTTTGAACTATCATGGCATGACGAGTAGATCGAGAGCTTTCTCCAAAAGAAGGCAGAAGTACGCTACGTAGAGAAATAACCAAGTAGCATTACAAGAAAATAAGTGAAAGTGCATCTAATCCCAAGGTGGATTTTGATGATTCATGTCAGCATATCTCAAAGAGCTAAGCATGAAGTCAGACAGCAGAAATACATACAGTACTGAATAATGTTTTTGCAACAATCACAAAGAAAGGGGAGGGGAAGTTCTTCAAAATAGAGGCGATTATAAAATGTAAAGGCAGTGCAAGGAAATATAACTCGGGAAAGACATAGAGATGTGTTACCCCAGTTCGAATTATTGGCACAGTTCTACGTCTGGGTTGGAGAGGATGAGCCATAGCTTTGGGAACACTTAGTCCTTGTCTTGTTCTCCATGAGTTAAGTTCCTCGGAACTCGCCCATTGAAAGGATCGATAAGAGGGGTCTAGAGGGGGGGGAGGTGATTAGACCCTCAACGAGCAAAAGTGGCAATTTTAAAGTTCTTTAAGTTGAGGTGGAGTTTTAGCACAAGTTTAAGTATTCACAATACATTTCAAGCAAGCATGCTAAGAGTATGAGGAGCGAAAAGAGTAAAGCATACTATTTGCAAGAAAGTAAAGGGATGGGATTGGAGTTTGCAAACGCAATGTAGACACGGAGATTTTTGGCGTGGTTCCGATAGGTGGTGCTATCGTACATCCACGTTGATGAAGACTTCAACCCACGAAGGATAACGGCTGCGTGAGTCCACGGAGGGCTCCACCCACGAAGGGTCCACGAAGAAGCAATCTTGTCTGTCCCACCATGGCCATCGCCCATGACGGACTTGCCTCACTCAGGTAGATCTTCACAAAGTAGGTGATCCCCTTGCCCTTACAAACTTCTTGGTTCAACTCCACAATCTTGTCGGAGGCTCCCAAGCGACACCTAACCAATGTAGGAGACACCACTCTCCAAAAGGTAACAAATGGTGTTTTGATGATGAACTCCTTGCTCTTGTGCTTCAAATGATAGTCTCCCCAACATTCAACTCTCTCACACGGATTTGGCTATGGTGGAAAGATGATTTGAGTGGAAATCAACTTGGGGAAGGCTATAGATCAAGATTCTTGTGGTAGGACTGGAATATCTTGGTCTCAACACATGAGTAGGTGGTTCTCTCTCAGAAAATGAGTAGTGGAAGTGCAGGCACATTCTGATGGCTCTCTCTAAAATGGAGAAGGGGGTGGAGGGGTATATATAGCCTCCACACAAAATCCAACCGTTACACACATTGGACCCAACTCGGTCAGACCAAATAGAAGAACTCGGTGAGACCGATTCAGTTCAAAATGTGAACGTTAGGAATCTCGGTGGGACCGATGTGCTAGGGCTAGGGAAAAACCTCATCTCGGTGAGACCGAATGCTTGAACTCGGTGAGACCGATTTCAGCAAAGAGCAAACAGAGAGTTGGTCAAGAAAACTCGGTGGGACCGATTGCTCATTTCGGTGAGGCCGAAATGTTACAAAGGGAAACAGAGAGTTTACAGGGCCATCTCAGTGAGACCGAGATTCGTATCGGTGTGACCGAATTGTCTAGGGTTTCTGGCAGTGGCTATGTCAACTGAACTCGGTGGTGCCGGATAGATAAAAACGGTGGGGCCGAATTTGACTTTGAGTTTTAGACATATTTGGAATGAGAGAGCGGCTGAGGGTTTTGGAGCAATATCACTACACTTTGAGCAAGTAGACCATTAAGCAACAACTCATCCCTTTTAATAGTATTGGTTTTCCTATGAACTCAATGTGATCTTGGATCACTAAAATAGAAATGAAGAGTCTTGAGATTTTACCAATCTTTGTCCTTAGCATTCTAAAGGGGTTCCACATCCTCTTGTCCTTACCACGCCATTGTTGAAGTCATCTGAAATATACTAGATAAAAGTATGTCCAACAAGAGATATGTTGACATTAATTACCAAAATCACCCAGGGAGCACTTGTGCTTTCACCCAATCAATCGAGGTAGATCTTGAAGTGATCTTCGAACCTTCACATATTTGTTCTTTGATCAGCAAACCCACAATCTAGAAGCTCTTGAACAAACAGCTAACCGTCTAGAGGATTATGCACAATCCTCAAGAGTAATAAGCTGAAGTTAGGCTTTGATCAAATTATTTGGTGATGCTCAATCACTTCTCATAATTAGGCTCAAATTATTGTGAGGAATGAGTTGCTCAGAAAACACTTGTTAATTTCTCATGGAGCAACCAACCACTTATGGTTGAGGTAGGGGATATTTATAGCCAGGGTGGCAACCCAGGGGTTGATATGACCGTTGGAGGTGCACTCACAACCACAACACGACACACTGCTAACAATTGAATTTCAAATCAGGTGTGTGTGGTATTCAATCTAACTTAGCGACATCCAACCATCGGCAAAGACATTTAACTTTGATGCCTTGACATTATTGAGACTAAATAAATATCCTAGAAGGATATGTCAAAGTATTCTCTCTCATAAGAAATAGGTTGGATCGGGTACACATCAAATACTTTAATCTAACTTTCACTTGAACCCTTCTTACTAGTACGTGTTATCGTATGACTCAAATAGAAGCAATAGAGAACTAGTAAACAAAAGTCTACACAGAAGCTTCTAATACTCCACAGGACATTTTGAGTCCTTCAGTTGTTCCACAAGTTTTTGAAGCAAATATGCCCTAAAGGCAATAATAAAGTTGTTATTTTATATTTCCTTATTCATGATAAAGGTTTATTATTCATGCTAGAATTGTATTGATCGGAAACTTAAATGCATGTGTGAATACATAAACAAATACCGTGTCCCTAGTAAGCCTCTACTAGACTAGCTCATTGATCAAAGATGGTTAAGGTTTCCTAACCATAGACATGTGTTGTCATTTGATAACGGGATCACATCATTAGGAGAATGATGTGATGGACAAGACCCATCTGTTAGCTTAGCATATTGATCGTTCAGTTTATTGCTACTGCTTTCTTGATGACAAATACATATTCCTTCGATTATGAGATTATGTAACTCCCGGATACCGGAGAAATACCTTGTGTGATCAAACGTCACAACATAACTACGTGATCATAAAGATGCTCTACAGGTATCTCCAAAGGTTTTTGTTGAGTTGGCATAGATCGAGATTAGGATTTGTCAATCCGAGTATCGGAGAGGTATCTCTGGGCCCTCTCAGTAATACACATCATAAGAAGCCTTTGCAAGCAAAGTGACTAAGGAGTTAGTTGCAATATGATGTATTACGGAACGAGTAAAGAGACTTACCGGTAATGCCTATTAATGTTGAAAGCAATATTATTCAAACTATGACACCTGAGGAACACATAAAGGAGACCTTCCGGAACACTCCAGAATAATAATAAAAGAGGAGGTACGTGATATGGTAAGTGAACGGACTCCAAAAAATCCGCAAAAATATTTTCTGTCGGTTTTGGAATATATTAAATATTAGGAAAATAAGAAACAGCCAGGAAGGCACCTGAGGAGGGCACAAGACACCAGGGTGCGCAAGGCCCCCTTAGCGCGCCTAGGTGGGTTGTGCCCACCTCGGGAACCTTCCCAACTCCGTTTTCCTCATGCTTGCTTGTTTCCCAAGATAAAAAAAATCTTTATATACCCCTCGAACGTATTGACTACCATATCGCGGAGAAGTCTTTTGTTTTTCTTTCTTGCTGTTTTCTGGCAGATCTGAAAATATTTCGTCTCAAGATTTGGAGGGTGAGAGCTATGTTGTTGATTATATTGTAAACCCCAAAGTTTATGGAGATGTGGAACGTAATGGTTGGACCACGGAGGAAGAAGAGG